ATCAAGTATTAAAACAGTTTACAATAAAATATAGCACTAATTTAATTTTATATTTACAACAACAAAGCTGCAGAATAATTAATATCTATCAGTCTACATCAGTGAAACTGATAACATTAAGATGTGTATTGGTGACATTTAGATTTAAATTATTCATCATGAGCTGCACTGAAGATGTTTTTGTTTTTTTAAATACGTGTTGAGACTTTATACAACTTGAAATGAAAAGAACAAAGTGTTGAAAGCAGATGAAGGAAGCAGCACACGGACCAGAGTTTCTCCAGAACAGAAACTGAAGTGACTGAAAACACAAACCTATCAGTGAATGAATGATTCATGTGTCACTGGGTCGTGGTGTGTGTTCTCTCTCTGCCGGGGAAACGTGGTGGCAGCTGGCACGCTGCAGGTCACATCCCAAATGTTTTGTAGGCGGCGTGGACGGCTGGAGCCATATGGCCGACAGCGTCACGTGACGCACCAATATTGGATTAACGAGGCACACACACATGAACACACACACACGCACGCACACGCAGGGCCCTAAACCCCTGCCTGCTGTTCAGGATACAATCACAGTCAACAACATCAACACAGGGCGCTTCTCAAACCAGGAACGCGTGCTGATTGGCTGCCAGGAGTGTGACTAGTTAACTCTACCAGGTCTAATGCTAACTAACAGGTTAGTTTCTCAGGGTCTGCTGTGTGTTTCATACAAACCTTCAGGGGTCAACAAGAGGTCACCATCTGAACCCAGGCTCCTGCCGTCTGCACACTTCACACCAGAAAACAGACAAACCTCCATCGTCACTTCCTCATTTTATAATAACGAGCCGAACATTAAAATGTTCCCACGCTAACTGACACGAGCTGCGATCACGTCACGGAAAGACCCGGAAAACCTGCCGTTATTGTCACTTGGATTTTTCCAGTCCGGTTATTTTATCACCTCTTTTCACTTTCTGTCAGATCCTCTTACATAATGTTGATTTGAGGTGTTTTTATTTGGATTTTTCTTTTATTTGGTTTTATTTTTTCTTGTAAAGCAGTTTGTAACTTTGTTAAGAAAAGTGCTATATAAATAAAGTTATTATCATTATTACCTTTATAATTATATATTGGTTTGATGACAAGTAAAACCAGATACTAACAAACAACGTGCAGCTTCTTTTTCATCAGCTGCTTCAGAGTTAATACTGTTATTGAGTCACGGAGACGTTTTACCAACAGTCTGTTTGTGTCAGAAAATCCTCCATATCTACAATTTAATCTTCTCCTGCTTGGCTTTTCATAAATTACAGTATCACACGACCAAGGCTTAACATGTTAAATGTTACATGCTAAACACGCGAGCTTGCAAACCAACAAAATATGCTAATATGCTAAAGTTAGCGCGCTTATATCTTAATCTCATATGTAAAAAGTTGGTACATGCTCACATCTGCATGAGGCTCGGTACAAAGTGAAGTTTAAAAAGCTGAAAGAGGAACCAGGTCTGACAGAGGAGAGCTGAGTCTGGGTCTCCCTCACACCTGGTTCTGGTTCAAGTTCAGGTTCTGGTTCAGGTGCTGGTTCTGGTTCAAGTTCAGGTTCTGGTTCAGGTGTGCTGGTCCAGACAGAAACAGGTTGTTCACACCGACTTCAACTTCTAAAAGGAATCCCTTTGAATTTGGCACAAACGTTCACTTTTGGACGGTGGCTTAAGGTCAAAGGTCAAAGGTCAAGGTCAGTGTGACCTCATATTTTCTGTGACTCTGGATGAACAGGGACGTGACCTGGAACTGATTCTAGTTTTTTACTCTCAGGACATTGAACATTAGTTCATTTTTATTGGTTCAGTCATTTCAGCTTCTGATGTTATTGATATTGAAGCAGATAAAAAAATCAGGCAGATTTTTGGAGACGCAGCAGCAGCGGCGGCGCGGCGGCGGCGGCGGGGAGGACGTGTGGTGAGCAGTGCAGGCTGCAGAGCTGCTGCTGTGTTCCTCATTAAACACCATCAACACTGGAACTAAGTGTCTGATTTTACTGTCAATGAACGTGAAGCTCACAACTTCCCTGCTTCAGTTCCTCCTCGCCTGAGGAATACTAAAATAATAGTGTTCCCATATGACCTTGAACAGCACGTATATGTGTGTGTGTGTGTGTGTGTGTGTGTGTTTCTGGTCACTGTGGCAACAGTTACTAAGCAGCACGGCGAGCTCCACTGAGCCCTGCCTGAAGATGATGAGGACGCAGTCTAATGATCGGAGTGTGCGGCATTTTAACGGAGGCCTGTGTGAAACATTTAGGACCATAGCAACCACACACACACACACACACACACACACACACACACACACACACAAACACACACACACACACACACAGAAACGTCTGTAAACACCGACGCTGACAGGAGAAGTTCACTCCTTCCTCCTCATCATGTTCCTCTCTCTTTCAGAGGAGTCCCCACACCTGAAGCTCAAACACTCAACGCCATAAATCAAGGTGATTTTTACCACGTTTTCTTTCATCGAACAGTTTTTACTCTGCTGCCATGTTGAATTCCTTTGACCATAAATTATATTATTTGCCGCCATAGATGATGGTGTGACTGAGGCATGAGACCAAACAAGACGTCGACGTTTGTGTCTTCTTTTTAATTTAAACATTTGATTAATATCATAGTTTATTTGCTTTTACTATTTGAGAAAGTAAAAGAAAAAAAACAAAGATCTTTTAAAGTTGATCTCGATCTCAGTCATTATTTCCATTATTGATTTATCTGTCACCTGTCAGTTATTTTCTTGATTAATAAATGAATCATTTGGTTCATAAAATGTCAGAAAATAGTGAAATAAATGTCTGTCACATTTTCTGAATCTTTATTTTGTCTAAACACAAGTCTAAAAGTGAAAGATATTTTACTCTAATAGAAAAAGAACAAAAAGATCAGCAGATATTTATATTTGAGAAACTAGAACCAGAGAATTTTTAACATTTTTACTTATGATTAATTTTCTGTTGATCCACTGATCGACTAATTCTTCAGTTCTAAAGCGAGTCGGCGAAAACAGAGATTATAAACATCACACAGTCACAATCTCATTTCTCACGTTTGTCTCAAAGACTCAATGAACTTGAATTTAATATTAATCCCGTGTTTCTGTGAATCAGCTGTTTTACTCTTTAGTGTGATGTTTTCATGAGGCTTTGCTATGTGCCCTCTGTGTTTTCTGTAAATCAGTGATTTGACGGAGGAATTTGATGATTTCAGGAGTTTTTTCCCGTTTTCCACTGAAATGTAAAAATCTGTTTCTAATATTCGCCACTTTTCACACAGAGCAGTTTTTATAAAAAGGGACGGCTGCCATGTTTTGGCTTCATTAGAGACTCGACTCGAGAGCAGCGAGGACTGTGACAAAGGTCCAGACACGAACCAGAACATCTGTCTGATCCACGAGGACTAAAACCCAAAATGTCACCGTGTTGGGAGGCAGTAAAACGCAGGATTTAACAGCCGCCGCAGAGCAGATGAAAAGGTCAACTCGCTTTTTTTTCCTTCCTTATGAACCAGGAGAGTTCCTCCATTCAACGTGAAGACAATGGTACAATGGCGGTCTGCTATTATTAGTGCCGTTTGTACAGAGCTGATCTCAGAGCTGCTCCTGACGGTAACTGGTGCGATGACGAGGATGAAGAGGAGGTCTGGAAACTGTTTCACTTCGAATCTCAGATTTTCATCTTGGGCCACATGTGACCTGTCTGACCTCTGACCTCCGTACTGTTACTGATCAGGTGGTAAAGTTTGTTTTGTTCATGTTAAAACAACATGAACAACCTTTTTACTTCGGTTAGGAAGGTTTACTTGTACGATATGTTTTCTCTGACTCGTCATTATTTCTGTCACATTAAATCTCTCGTCACGCAGCCACAATCTGTCTCTGTGACGCTAAGGATTGTGGGAAGATGAGTATTTCATGTTGTGTTTCGCGAATCAAGGACTCGTCTTTTGCCTTTTCACGTTTCAGTTCCACAGATTTTTCCTTTGTGTTTGTTTTGTGGGAGGAGAAAAATAAGAAGACATCTGTAGACGTCACCTACAGCTCAGCAAATTTTCTGACTCAACGTTTCATCAATTAATCAAAAAAACTCAAGGTCAGATTAATCGATAAAGAAAGTAACTGTCAGCTGTGGGTGTGGTCCGTTCGTTTGAGGCAAATGTGAAATAAAAGCCAAAAAACTAACAAAAAACAAAGCTTCATAATGGCCATAAATTTGAGTTAAAGCAGACCTGACTAGTACTATTTATTATTATTATTATTATTATTATTATTATTATTATATTATTATCATTATTATTTTTAGTAGTAGCAGCAGCAGAGGTTAAATAGTATTAATACACTGCAAGAGAAACGTTACGTGTTCCAGATACTGAGGTTAATGTTTATATGGTTTTACTGGAATAAAATGTTATAAATTATAATTAGAAAGAAGAACTACAGGTTCATGTCCTCATGTCTACCTTCATTTGTCCAATCAATTTTAAAATCAAATTTTATTACCCAACAAAAAGGCATCAACATTTATCTCTTTGTCCTAAATGTTGTCGATTTAAGTTTCCTGAGTAAAAATACTGGAATCAGTTTATACAACCAGCACCATGAAGGTTTCTACATTTCTGCAGAGGTCACGCCCTCAGTGACCTGAGCAGCAGCTGCACACCTGGAACCACCAGAACCTGCTCACGTGATATGAAGACACCTAGCCCAAACAGCAACATCCTCCAGAAAGGTTAAAGTTCAGTTAGTCCCAGTTTAATCTGCACACAGCCTTTAACTCCCTTCAAGCATCATCAGATGCAGATCCGCCTGTACACGTCTGTGTTCGTAGGTTTTTCATTAATGTTGGAGCTTCAGGATTTTACAGATTCAGTTTCAGTGGATAATAAAAACCCTCCTGACCTGAAGCCGCTTCCAGGTGAAACCTTCTGAATCTACTGTGTTCATTCATGAACTCACCGGCATCATGTTGGCAGATCTCCGCTCTGTCGCATCCAGACTGCAGCTGAAAGCACTAAACCATCCTCCTGCTGCTGCTGCTCCTCCTCTGTCTCCTCCTCTGTCGCTGTATCTACACCGGCTTTATGATTATTCCTCCCCTCGACTCCTCCTCGACCTGTTGCGGGGAACCTGCAGGCCTTGCTCTCCGTCTGCTGCCCGGTGCGTCTGGAGAGAAGAAGAATAAATGATGATGTGCTCAGGGAGGCTCCGGATGAGGCTGCAGGAAGTAGCGTTTATTAGAAAAATAAAAGTGCAGCAGTTGAGATGAAGGAGCAGAGAACAAAGCTGGAGCAGCTCTCCTCCTGCTGAGCCCTAATCCATCCACGTCCAGGACCAGTCTGACTGCGAGCGTGTGGCTCACGAGCCTTCAATCAACGGAGAGCGCTCACTAGCCGTAACGAGGGGAGGACGACTTCCGGTGTGACTTTTCAGAATAAAAGACCATCACTTACAAACATAAAAACACCTGAAGGTACATTTAAGAATGTTTGGTCAGGATAAATTATCAAGATAAAAAGATAATGAAAAAAAAATTGTTAATAATAAATCAATTTCAAATTCAAATACATAAATGTATGAAGTGATTATTCTGATTAGGACTAGGACTACAGCCGTTTATTAACAATTTAAAAAAGAAAGAAAATTTGTATTAGCATTTGAAAAGAAAAAAAATTAATAAAATATCATTTATCTACAAAATCATTCAAATTATTAAAACGCTCACTGTTAATGTTTATAACTCAACTGTGACCCTGGGTTGATTTCATCTTGGAGGAAGAGGAGGTCATATGAGGAGGTCGAGACAGATGAATAAAATGTTCAATAAAATTAACAAAACACACATTTAAATTATAAGCTATCTAGTCAGAGAATAAGTTAACATCACTAAAAATGTAATTAACAATCTTTCAGAGGAACTTCCAGTACGTATACACACTTTAGATTTAATTTTCCAGACACATTCAGTTAAGCTACAGGAACATGCATCTTAAAACTTCTAATGAGGCAGTTTTGTTTTTTATGTTGGTTGGTTGGTTTCATGTGCAATAGTCTAAAGACGATTTGTCCCAATAAAAAGAAGTAATCATGGCAAGGCCTTCAATCCAGATGTAAAGTTGTTCTGGACCTGAACATGTTTCTGTAGCTTTGGTTTTCCTTTAAAAAAAAAAAAATAAAAAAAAAGTTATTGTTGTTTAACAGAAATAAGTAAGTTTTACCCACTTTTATTCTGAAGGGAGATTTATCCATTTCCGGTTTTAATAAGTCTAACTTGGCGAAGCTGTTCACCGGGATCTCCTAGCAACGGGAATAAACTCCTCCTCGTTTCTCAAGTGTGTGTGTGTGTGTGTGTGTGTGTGTGTGTGTGTGTGTGTGTGTGTGTGTGTGTGTGTGTGTGTGTGTGTGTGTGTGTGTGTTGTATATTTTCGCTCATTAAGGACAAATCAAGCAGACTGCACATTAATGACCAAATAACACTGTATTGTTCCTCCTCTCCAGGCAGCTGCTGCTGGAAGGAGGAAAAACAAAAGGAGGGACTGGAAATCTGCCTTGAATCTTGCTGCAGATAAAGAATTCTTCAGTCACCAACATGTTTGCTTTAAGCTTTGACTGCTGTCTGAGAATTGTAATTGCATCACTGTGCATCATTTTTCTTCTTTCATATGTTAGTTTTGCTGCATCTCATTAGCAAACATTGATAAAAACACGTGAGAAAATCAATCAGTCTGCTGATAAACAGCCAATATTCAGGCCTTAATTGATAGATAATTATTATTTCTGAAAGACACAAAGCTAACAAGATGTAGCCTATCTGAAGGGTGATAAACAGAGGGTCAAAAATGAATTAAATCAGGTTTACTTTATTTATCTGCACCAGAAACAGGAAGTAGTGCAGAATGGTTTGAGTCTTCTTGACTCAATGATAACAGATGTTTCCAGATTAATTTTACCCACAGACATTAGCAATAATACCTGCACAACATCTTAACAGAGGGTTTATCAACATATAGATGAAGTTATAGATGAAATGGGATGTCTCTCTAATGGATAAGAATCTAAACATCTATAGGCCTAAAACTTTGGCACAGTACTGTATAAGACATATTTAACATTTGTCTTTAACCTGTGGTTTTATTTATTTATATATCAATTAAATTGTGAAATTTCAATTCAGGAACTATGGGAACAAACATGGGTACAGTGCACAAACAAATGTCAGAACATTTTTTAAATTTTAATTCCGCCACTACTTGACAATAAAAAAAAGGAAGAAATTTGTGACATGAATCTGTGTCAATATTATATCTGATCAGATAATCAGTAATCAGAAGATGATCAGTAAACAACACCAGAAATTTAACCAATAATCTTTCAGAGCAGCTTCTAGTACTTCTGCACACTTAAGACTTACAGACACATTCAGTCAAGTTATAGGAACATGCATCTTAAACCTAAATCTCTAATATTAAGGTTACAAACAAAGCATTTTCTGTTTTATGTTGGGGGACTGATTGGTTACATACATACTTATATTTTCTACTGTTGATTTGATTTGATTCTGTAATTATGAATCTTTGTCTTGTTAAGTTAATGCAACGAAATACATTTATTTGAGGAGATGGTTGAACAAAAATGCAGAATAAACACAGACTGTGTCAGACACAGGTCGGACCAGTAGAGGGCAGCACTGCATGTATCAGACTGTCCCTGACAGGAAGTTATTGTTCTACTACAAAATACAACCGTGTAGAAAATATCCATTAGAGAAGGAATACAGCCGAGCTGGACACGTGACAATAATACACTCGCATTAAGATATAATAATCACTTTTTGGGAGCACAGTTGCTTTTTTCTGTTGTCCAAAACCGAACAACAACCGATTGACGCTTTTATTTTGAAACCGGAAGTGATTTGTTTATCTGACTGGCGTGAAACCTGCAACCATGGATACACGTGGATAATGGAGCCCAGCAAAACAGGACATTAACAGCAACTTTATATCCAGGTATATAAACCTTTATTTAATCTCAACCGCCGAACAGTGAGTCTGTTATGACGCTTTGTGGAGGACATGTTATATGTAGCTGCTGGTTGCTGTGTTTCCGTAGCGCGTGTTCGTCTCTAGCTAACGTCACGCCAGACTGAACAGAAAATGCGCCGGTTTAAAATTTCTTTGCTTTTCAGCGAAGGTATATTGATGATAAGAGACCTAACACAGAGCCTCTACGCTTCATTATGACCTAGTTGTTCATTCGGCATAGAGGTTATTGCCTGAGAGACGTATTTACCTGCAGAACTTGACAAGTAGACAAAGCTTCTCCCGTGTAAACAACGTTAGCAAGACATTGTCTAACAAATAAACACCGCAAAAACAATCTGCGTCATCACTCCATATATCCCGAGTCAAAGCTTTACTCATATCGATGTTTTAGACATGCATCGACAAACGCTAGCCTGTATTTATATATGCTAATAAGCTAGGAATTCACAAAATGCTAATATTTTTGCATTGAGTTCGGTTTACACTTCCTTGCACTCAGTAATTAGCTTGTATCAAACAGTGGCAAGTTAAATAATAACATATATATTACAACTTAACAATACCACACCCAATTAAACTTAGTTCGGAAATTATAAATTTATAGATAGCTAGTAGCATTAGCACTAGTTGCTAATTAGCTGGTTAGCAGCCCTGATGCAGATAAGTAGTAACTTCAGACATTCGGGGCTAATAGAGTTGTTCATCGACGTGTGTTTAAAATACAAACCCATCAGAAGACGTGTGAACTTCTCATTAACAGTTCGGCACAACTCACGTCGACGTCAGGTGAGTTTAAAGTATCATTAAAATGACGTAGACTGACGGAGCGCAGGTGAATTGTATTAGACGTAAAATTCAAGATGGCGCTGTGATCTCTCTGCTTAGTGCTGCCTCTAATGGCCGGAGGCGGTATTGCAGTTTATCAAACAGGCAACGCGAACAACAGCCCTGAGGCTCCAGACTCCCAGAGGCCCCAAAAGCCCCAGGTTTATTACATATTATGTATAATGTGATTCATTTAATTAACGAATTTGTTATGAATGTGCATCACAGAATATTAACTTTGTCAGGTCCTCCTCCTCCATCTGGTGGCTCTGGTCTTTTAAACAGACTCTGTGTTGCTGCTTTACTTTATGTTGAGCTGCTCTGTTTTAAATTCACGTTTTATCGAACTGCTTTAACGTTTTCTATGCATTTACTAAATTTATACACATAAAACCTCCAGCATCCAACAATTATTTTCATTATCGGTACATCCAACAGTTATTTTCTTAAATAATCGATTGATGGTTCAGTGGATAAAATGTTCGCTAATCCGGCCATGACTCTTGGATTTTACATGGTGTAAAGTTTGTAGGAATTTACCTGAGCTTTTGCGGAGACACCTGCCCTCACTGTGTCAGGGTTGTATTGTCAACATTGGTCTGATAAGCAACTTGCTCAAGGGCACATCAGGAATTCTAACTCTTCCTCCTTTATTTTCCTCAGCGAAGCCAAAAAAACCAGGATGAAGGGGACGGAGAAGCAGCAGCGGCGGGAGATTGGCGTCTCGAAAAAGACGAGGATGGCGAACAGCAGCGACGACGAAGACTCTGACGTGGAGAAGAACTTCGCTCTGCTCACTCAGAGAGGAGGAGGAGGGGCTGAGGAGGGAGGGCTGTGCCTCAGAGGAGAGGAAGAGGAAGAATTCAGTGATGACGAGGAGGAGGAGGAAGGGTCTGATGAAGTAGAGGAAGTTGAGGAAGAATCAGATGGTGGTGAGGAGGAGTTCAAGGAGGAGGAGGAGGCTGAGGGAGATGAAGTAGGGGACGATGACAGCGATGCCTCTGAGGAGGATGATGATGATGATGATGATGATGATGATGATGATGATGATGAAGAGCCTGAGGTTGCCGGTGGCAGCAGTGAGATCCAGACAAGAGAAGACATTAAAAAAGGTGAGTTTTCCTGCAGCTGCGTCACATTAAAAGCTTCACTCATAAACCAAAGCAGAGGGCATACTTACATTCTGATACTTTTACCAATACTGCTTATTGATCGGTTCTCTTATTGATCAGGCCAGTTTAATTCCGGGCTTCGTGCCCATCCCTAGCCTCAGATATGAGCCTGTGAAACATCACACACCTCTCTGTCCTCTGACCGTCCCAGAGCTGTCCAGCATGTCCTTTGAGGACATCATGAAGCTGCAGAACAAAGTGGGAACCAAAGTTTACAATGAGGTCGCCTACGGCAACAACAAGAGGCCGGAGACGAGCAAGAAGAAACGACTGAACAAG